CCTGTTTGGGTTGACCAATGGCCCTTAACTAGTGAGAAATTAACAGCTGCCCAACAGTTAGTGCAGGAACAATTAGATAAAGGCCACATTGAGCCGTCTGTCTCTCCTTGGAATTCACCAATTTTTGTTATAAAGAATAAGTCTGGTAAATGGAGATTATTACAAGATTTAAGAAGGATTAATGAAACTATGGAAATCATGGGAGCATTACAACCTGGTCTCCCCCTTGCCTCTGCAATACCTAGAAATACTTTTAAAATAGTTATTGATTTAAAGGATTGTTTTTATACTATACCTCTAGCCCCTACAGATTGTAAACGATTTGCTTTTAGTGTCCCTTCTATTAATTTCCAGGGACCTATGCAAAGGTACCAATGGAGAGTTTTGCCTCAAGGTATGGCAAATAGCCCTACCTTGTGTCAAAAGTTTGTAGCACAGGCTCTTTCCTGTGTTAGACAAAGTTATCCTTCTGTTTATATGATACATTATATGGATGATATTCTTTTAGCAAATGAAGATGAATCATTATTGCTTACTGTATTTGTTTATTTACAAAAGGTTTTAAATGATTATGGATTAGTTATTGCTCCTGAAAAAATTCAACGGGAGTCTCCTTTTTCATATTTGGGATATCAGCTATATCCTCGAAAAATATTTACCCAAAAGTTACAGATTCAAAAAGATAATTTGAAAACTTTGAATGATTTTCAAAAATTATTGGGAGATATAAATTGGATATGTCCGTATTTAAAATTAACTACTGGAGAATTAAAACCTTCATTTGATACTTGCAAGGGGATCCTGATCCTTCCTCCCTCAGGACCCTCACATATGAAGGATGATTGGCTCTTCAAAAGGTGGAAATAGGCATTTCTAATCAATAGTTATTTTATTTTGATTATCAAAAACCCTTAGAAGCTTTTATTTTTCTAACCAAATATTCCCCTACAGCTGTTTTGTGGCAAAATGGACCTTTATTGTGGTTACATTTATCTGTTTCACCTGCCAAAAATTTACAACCTTATTATGAAGCTGTTGCCCAACTTGTTCAATCAATCTGATGTAATGCTCGGACATATTTTGGTTTAGAACCTTCCATTATTGTAATTCCATTTACAGGAAAACAATTAGATTGGCTGTTTCAGAATTGTGATTCCTGGGCTATTGCATTTGCGTATTTTTCAGGCCAAATTAAATTTCATTATCCACCTAATAAATTGTTACAATTTGCAAACCTTCAATCCTTCATTTTTCCAAAAATTATTTCATTTAAACCTATACCTGATGCCATTGTTATTTTCACTGTTGGATCCTCTAATGGAAAAGCTGTTTATGTTATTGATGGTCATGAAAAGGTTTTTTCAACACCTGCCACTTCGGCACAAGTAGTTGAATTGCGTGCCATTCTTTTTGTTTCTCAGGAATTTGCCCATGTTTCTTTTAATCTATATACCGATAGTCAGTATTTGGCTAAAGCCCTTCCTGTTTTAGAAACTGTGGCCTGTATTAATACCAGTAATTTAGAAATTCAACAACTTTTTATTCAAGTACAAAATTATATTCATGCTCGTTCTCTTCCTTGTTTTATTGGACATATTCGAGCATATACTGTTTTACGCAGTCCATTGTCTTTGGGAAATCATCTTGCTGATGTTTCCACAAAATTTATTGCCCTTTCTAAAATTGATTTAGCTTGTCAATCTCATCAACTCCATCATCAAAGTAGTCGTACTCTTAGAT